AAACCATCCCATGATTCTATGATTCTATAATAAAATTCTGCTCACCTGGATTTATCTTTTTGAGACTAATGATACTCTTATCTGCATAAATAATCATTACATGCTTATCCCACTAGTCTACAGCACAGAAAAAGCTTCTGTAACAAAAATGAGACCTTTTTTTGATCATGACACATGTTTGCAGGTTCATTTAGGCCACAGCAGTCAGGCTGAGGGTGAGGCATGTTCAACACTTGCCCCGATAGACTGAGATTCCCAATCAAGGCAGGAAAAATGTTGGGGTTTTTGTTGTTTTTTGGGGTTTATTTTAATGCTAGATGAGAAAGGCACAGAGGAATGCTTGAAGTATTAAATATTAAAACTGGCCGAAGGGAAACAGTAATTTTTTCTAGCAAGTACCCTTATTGATGGCTTAATTCAGCACAGACATACATACGACTCTGTATTTGGGGTTTTGTGGAAATATTTTACTAGGAGAGGATTTCTTCCCTCTCTCCCTTTCCAGTGCTATTAAATGAAGTATTTACTGGTGCACTGGCAGCAGAGCTGTCCATTCCTCTTAGAGCATCCGAGGGACCTTGAAACCCTCCGAGGAGGTGACTGTTGAGCTCCAAGGAGTCAGAGTTGGGTTTTTCATCGTATTTTGTACTGAGAGTTCCCTGCCCAGTTCAGTTTAGCTGAGGTGACTTCCATCCACTGTACAGAGATGGCCGTGCAAGATGGCTAAAGGCAAACTAAAATATCAACATCACTCTGAAAAGCTACTGCTGTCAAGAAGATTAATTTCTGTGACGCAAGGGACACGATACAGTAAAGCCAAGTACGCCGTGTCTATTGGTAGAATCTCATCCCGGTATTTTTCCAATCCAAGGTCTGGCACGTTGGGACGGTGCTTCCCTCAGCGCCGCTCTGGACTCACCGATAAGCTCCTTGTTTCGAACGTCCAGCGCCATGTTCCTCAAGGCAGTTGCCACAGAGGACACAACCCTGTCGTTATCCATCCTCAGCAGCTCCACCAGGATTGGCAGCCCTTTCTCTTTCCTTACCGCAGCTCGGATGTACGCCGCGAACTGAAACGAAACTCCGGTCACTCACAAATCTGCCACCACGCTCCCACTGAAACAATCTCTAATTGGATTGTAATTCTGAAGCAGGTTTGGGGGCGTTTTGCAGTGGAATGACGACACGTTAAATGTCTGTCGTTTCTGTTATTATAAAGGGTTGGCTCTCTGTTGTTTTCACTCATCCCTCTCACAAAGCAATGTTTACAAGAAGTGGTCTAACAGACACAATACCTTAATAGATGACAAATTATTGAAAAGGGAATGGTTTGGTTTTGTTTTAAAGATGATTTTATAATGGTCATAAACCGAAAAAGTCTGAGCTGTTTTTCTACAAGAAAAGGAAGCAATTAACTTTTTTTTTAATATCTCCATGACAAATCCATAACATCAATAAAGTATTCTCATGTGGGGCTTTTGTAACACATCGTATGCAAGGGCCACAAGCCAGAATGTACAGAAATAAATAACACAAATAATAAAGCAAATACAAACAACTTATTTATGCAGGTCTTGTTCTGACGGTACCTTCCCACCAGAACTCACAGCTAGAAGATACTGGAAGATTATTTTGACTGTTTAAAATTATTATTTAATATGCACTGGAAGAAAGTGTTTCTGTTTATTTAAAGTAAATGGTACCAATTTCCAGGCCAGGTTCTGTATTGCTCTTCCTGTTACCATCTTTGTCATTGCTTTGCACTGCGGAAATAACACGACTGTCAGATGCAGACTCCAAAATTCCATGTTCCCTCACACACATTCCAGTATCTAATTATTAAAAAACGGCTAAAATAGAGCGATAGGAGGAAGAGCAGGAACTCACATACCTTCCAGTTGCCCGCAGAAAGGTTCTGGAGGGATCCGGCAGAGCCCTCCAGAGTGGCGGGGTTGGAGCTTTCTGCTAGAAGTGTCAGGTAGGGCTTCACCACAGATGGGTGCCAGAGCATCTCCACCCCTTTAGGAGACTTGGAAAATCCTGGTATGGGGCCAACTCCATCCCACTGAGAAATGAAAATGTATTTGTTACTACAGGAAACCTCCAGATTTTCATTCACCATATGATACTTTTTCTTCAAGCTGTGTACTCTCCCCATCATTAGCTAAACTACACTTGGTACGTTTGCAATACAAGGAAAACTGCAAACCTGATCCTCCTGGGAAGTTTTTTTTTTCTTCTTCTTTTTTTTCCCCCAGCAACTTGGCTCTGAATCTTTGCTGGGTGATTCTTTTCCTAACAAGTCATCCAATTCATTGATTCCGAGCAGACGTGCCTGAGGTACCTCCAGTTCCAAACGGTAAGAAAGGTTTCTCAAGGTACACACGCAGTTTTCCACTGTCTGAAGCCAAATCAGAAAGGTGTCATGTCATTAGTTTCTTTCTTACATGGCGATAAAGCAAACCAGACTAATTAAGCAGAGGTGAAAAGGCATTTGGAGCACAAGCACTAAATTCTGATTCTGGGCCCTGGGCATATCTTTGTCCCTTTCTCTGGGAAAACAGCGATCTCTCTCCCCCGATATCCTCAAATATGAAAATATTTATAACTGCAATCTCTAGTGGCTTATTCTTTAGTATCCTGAAAATGGAAAGCACAAGAGCTTATTATTATTTTATTAAAGAATGAATACTTCAACACTGGTGAAAATGAAAAGCACAGAACAAGATCCACTGACTGCGGAACTGACTGTGACAGAATGTGGTGTGCATCAGTAAACCGGGGCTGGGAGAGGAGACCAGTTGAGCTAGGCACATCACAGTGCTAAACTATACTGTACAAACCCCAGAAGATCCTATTAGACCTCCAGTTTATCACTAAAAAACCACTTAGAGGAAACGTGCAGGCACCTTGCTGTCATAATCTGATGTGTTCACACACGTGTGGATCACGTAGAGCAGTGAATCAACCAGCCCTTCACAAGACCTCATCTGCTTCCGGGCTTCTTCCCCTGCGGAGCTCAGATTCCTAAAGGGTGGCAATGATAAGGGAACACACTCACAGACAGACAGACAATCACTTTCTGAGATAGCTTGCAGAAGTTTTTTAATACAGCTGATTAATAACAGAGAAGTTAAAAAGCAAACGCCACCATTTTGTGCAGCAACCCACCCCCAGATCTCGTAAAAGGTAAATGTGATTCGAAACTGCAACTTCACGACAGCATTGGCTCACTGACAAACTTCCCACAGGCTTTTCCATTCCAAGCCCCCTCTGTGGCACGAGCCCAAATCCATGGCTGGTGGGTGCTGAGGGAGAGACTGCTGAGCGCCTGTGTTAGAAACGCCCTTTGCTGCCTCTTTCTGAAACTGGATCCATTCAGCGATCTGCGGGGCAGCCTCATGTGTAAGAGTACGGCACAGACAGAAGTGGAAACGTACAAATGAGGGTGCAGGGAGAGGAAACGGCTGCACTGCGCTTCAGAATAAGCAGCAAGAGATGTAGACAAGTATTTGCCTTCAAGGCCGCCACACTGCAATCGCCGAAGCATACGCTGTCACTGGATGCACGCGGAAAATGGCACTGTCGCTAAAAAATGCCACCGTGGCCTGTCCACAGAGGTGCCTTTTCTCTCGACAGCAGGTCCCCACGACTGTGTTAGCACAGCCCTGCATTCAGAAGCGCCGCAAAACTCATCGTCTTGAAAAACAACCCAACGGACACCAACAAAAGCGCAGTTTGTGAAAACACTCTGCAGCTTAGAAGGGTCACCAGCAAATGAAAAGCAATTCCCGTTTAAACACAACAGCCTCACTCTGCTCTTTAACAGAACACAATTTGAAGTCTAATAAAGTAAAATTATAGACACGCGTACAAATAAACAGAAACAGCTCATACACTACCCCGGCCCTTGAGTTCTCTTCTCAGATATTTTAGTTTTGCCTTTATTATTCTGAATACCTTTTTTTTTTTTTTCCTTCTTACTGCTGTTAGAGAAATCCACAGAGGGAAGACTCAAACACTTCTTTACTGACATGTGTGCATATACAAACATATTTATTTAAATGAATACCACAATAAAGAATCACCAAATGCACAACTTTTTTCCTAAATAATATTCATAAGCCCTACACTCAGTAAAAGAATTAATTAATAGAAGAAAAGTGCAATGATAGTGACACATAAGAAACCAACCACAGACACACAATTTGGCCTCTGGCCATTAAGTCAGCATCTCTTAGTGACTAAGTCTGTACTTTTCAGGTTTTTCCAATATGGAAAAATAATCCAAATGCAAAAGCTGCCTAAATGACAGAACTATATGCAACTTACAGACTGCAACAACTCTTCTGTCTTAATTAAAGTCTAAAAAGGACCTGTTGGGTAACATGAGTACTCTGTAAAAGGGAGTCCTGTAGAACAGCAAATTACCTCAGGCATCCCGTGGTATTGCGTAGAACTAGGGAAGTCTGAAATTTCATCTTATGATCATCATCAAAGGAAGAACTGTTCCATCCCGAATGTGGCACTATCACAGTGTTTGTTAGTGTCGACAAAGCATCTCTGATGATTGTCATCTTCACCGCATCGCACGAAGACAAGTTCCAGAGAACCCCTTAAGAAAAGATTTTAGTTGCAGTAAAGCCAGAAAAGACTTTGCAAACAAATATAAAGCAACAATAACAACTGAAAAGACATCACTTTAAACAGGAGAAAGATAATTTGTCTATGCAAAACCAAAAGAAATATAATTAGTCTGCAATGTAACTTTAATATTATTTCAACATTATTGCTCAGTCACTGGTCAAAAAAGCTGCCATTAAAAGATTCATTTTACAGACTGAAATAAACATTTCTAAACTTCAGATGACAATGTATTCAGCAGTCTTCGCTCTGGCTGCCTGGCTGCTGCGCAAGCTCGTGGATGAAAGAGCTAGAACGCGAGATGATAACCCGAATAACCCCAAAGGATCAGCAGCCACGTCTCCCATAATACCGAGAAGGAACACGTGCGTATCGGTGAGTAAATACTCTTCTCTTAAGGAAAAATACTCAGCAGAAACATACACCGACTGACAGGAGAGGTTCCCTTCTTTCCTTCCTGAGGCACAGCTCATTCTGCTGCCTGTGAAGAGGGGGAAGCTCCAGCAGCACTACAGGAGCCTAGAGGAATCTTGAGGAATCTCCTACAAGCACTCATCTCATTTGCAAAACACCTTTCCATCATTCCGAGACAGGTGCCTTGAGCTCACTCTAATGCTGATATCTTCCGTAGAGATCTAAAGATCAATCCCAGCCTGCCTACCTGTAATGGGAAGAAACATCTTTTTTTGCAGTGTGCCAGGCAACCTGACAAATCAGTGCAAGCTGTACAAACAGGCCAGAGCAGACGCTTCTCTTGCTAAAGAGCTTGCTAATGAATTTACCAGGCTAATGCAGAACTTCACCTAAAACAAGACATGAAAGTCATTTAGTCGTTCACTCTTCACTACAGCTGTACTGATGTCTGTCATCTACATGCACGTTCGTAGGTGTGCACACAGAGTCACTGCGGCTGGAAGGGAGGGAGGTCCTGGTGACACTCGGTGACACTCTTCCCGAGCGTGACTGGCAGGAACAGCACCCGGCACTGCCAGCTGGTTCCTCTCCCAGAGGAGAGCTCCACTGCAGAAGGAAAAGTGTGAATATTTACATGACAGAAAAAACACCTCCAAAGAAAGCAGCTGCTGGTAACCTCCTTCCAATAACCGTTCACGTGGACAGGACAACGATGGGTGCCCACCAGCAGTAAGCTCCTGACACAGAGCGCTTACATGGAGGAGGTCGCTGCTGCGTTAAGGGCAACGCATCACGCTGTGACACCAGCACAGCTAAAACAGGCGGCTAAATCTCAGAATTCATTAGCTCCTCACAGATGCCACCGGAACCACGTGCCCCCTGTGAGCGTGGAACCTGCTCCCTAGTGGGATTTCATCTGTTGCCTCATCAGTTCTAGCCAGTCAGCAGTCTGAGATGAGGAGGCTTATTTATCAGAAGAGACAAGGTGTTTTCCTCAACTTTTCATCCTATTCAAAAAAAGGCATGAACATCTGACCTCCAAAGGGTGAGTCTTCAACAGCCCCATTAAGAGGTTTGGGAGAGGAAAGAAACAGATCATTATCCTGATTTATATGAAACTTGGGAGATTAAAGTTATAAACTGCTTCTTAAAAAGGAACATTGAGGAGATTTGGCTGTATTCTTAAGAGAGACTGTTTACACTGGAAATCTCTACAACTTTGCAGGCAGAATTTAACAGTTAAAGTAAAGTCATAAGAATATAAGAGCAAAAATGAAGTGAGAAGAAACCAAATCTACAAACGACATGGCTGAAAGATCATCAGTGTTTTGCAAATTTGAGGTCTTGTGAAAAAATTTCTGAAAAAATGACAAAGGTAGATTAGCAGATGGGTGGCAGCCATTAAAGTTTTCAGTAAAGGTCCCAAGTGTGTGACGTGACATGATTCTAGATCAGGCAGAACCTGGAAAGCCGGTATCCAAAAAGGAGGAATGCAAGATGAAGCATGGAGGGGCAGGGGGGGGATATGGTTTTGGTTTGTTGAGGTTTTGTTTGGTTTTTCGTGCCCGCTAGTGACAGACGTGGGAAGAACGACCTGCACTGGTATTACCGCTTCCTTGCGCTGTACACCCGGGATATTAGACACTGAAGAGCAGAGCTGAACAGACAAGAGCTAATGTAAAAATTCTACAGAAGCTTTCTTCCTGGAAACTATAGCAAGAAGTCTAGAGTATTTGACATTTACCTATTAGCCAAATGAAACCACTATCAATCTTTTATCCTCAGGCAGAATTCTACAGTTCCCTACCCTGCAGAGTCTTCTGACATGACATTCAGATACAAAAGTACCAGATCTGACACAAATTATCATCAGAACTGAATATGCAAGTAATATGCTAAACACGACATTTAATCATCTTTTTCATCATGAAACACAGCTTAAAGTTCATCTGAATTCTCAGGTACTCATCTTACTCTAAATATTTTCCTCACATAGAGTATTATACTAACTGTAAAGTAGGATAGCTGCACACAGTCAGTCAAAAACATTAAACTGCATTCCCACAATAGCCCAATAAATCGCTACTCCAAACCATACAGCTTTCAGTTGGACTAGATCTCCAACATTTCATTTCCTCAGAAATACATTATGTGGGGACAAGACAGTAAATGTTACAAGAGTTAACAAAACCAAAAGTTTGTAAGGCAGCAGAAGTTTTTAATACAGCCACACAGAAACCTGAAAGAAAAATCTTTGCATGAAACATCCTGTCTTTTTTTCTTCAGTAAAACAATTAAGGGTGGGCTCCATGGGGGGGATATGCACGTGAGGAGATGTACGACTCTTCATTTCCAGCTGTGACACGGGCAGCCAAAGTGCTTAATGTGTCGTATCGTGGTTCCTAGAGCGTCCGATCTCTGTGGTTTAGCTCACACACAAGACAACTCGAATGTCGGATGAGGACTGCGGTTGCTAACTCGGCTGTCCTTGAACACTGCAGCTTTCTGCAGCAGCCCACCTGCCCAGGTGGCAAATAGGTGAAGACTGTACAACGAGCTCTCCTAAGAGCCAGGACACCCTCACAAACCTCTCGGCTGCTTTTTCTAAACCCAAGGCTTGAAACTGGACTCCCACTTGTACCCACTGTGCGGTTACTTTTTACATCACCTGCTGTTTCACAGCAATACATGGACCAGTTAGAACAAGTCCAGAGGAGGCCACCAGGATGATCCGAGGGCTGAAGCACCTCTCCTATGAAGACAGGCTGAAAGAGTTGGGGCTGTTCAGCCTGAACAAGAGAAGGATCCAGGGAGATCTTATAGCGGCCTCCCAGTACCTGAAGGGGCTACAAGAAAGCTGGGGAAGGACTTTTCATAAGGGCAGTTAATGACAAAACAAGGGGAAATGGGTTTAAGCTGAAAGAGGGGAGGTTTAGATGAGATATTAGGAAGAAGTTCTTCACTGTGAGGGTGGTCAGACACTGGAACAGGTTGCCCAAGGAAGTTGTGGATGCCCCCTCCCTGGAAGTGTTGAAGGCCAGGCTGGATGAGGCTTTGAGCAACCTGGTCTAGTGGAAGGGGTCCCTGCTGCTGGCAGGGGGGGTGGGACTAGATGATCTTTAAGGTCCCTTCCAATCCAAACCATGATTCTATGATTCTATGATTCTAATACTACTTCTGTGAAAATTATACATTTCCTTCCAATAGTCTGACATAGAACAAAATAATAAAATAATTTGTAAACAGCAAAAAGCAGAGGATCTCATTCACAGTCTGATAATCCTGAGGAACTAAAGAGGAAAAAACCTACAACAATGGATACTTCACACGTTAAAGTGTTCAGAGATTCTTGATACTTTTAATACCATTTTAGAGCCACGTTAAAAGTATTATTTATGACTTTTAACTCCAGGTTCTGTACAGCAAGACTTCCAGTAACAAAAGAGAACTGATTACAAACGAAAATAAAAAAACACAATTAAAAAGTACTCCTTTAAAGTTGTTCTGTAGGGTTTTTTCCTAAAAGTTTTCAGCAATTCTCAAAAATTGTTCATAGCTTCACCAAACTTTGTATTGCACTACATCTACACACTCAAGCAGAAGTTTACTTATTCTTCAGGTTTTAACAGTTTGCTCACATAAAGCAAGCTATTTCAAATACTTACCCAATTCCATACCATAAACCTCTTCTGTGATCACATGCCCTCGCTGAAGTACCTCACAGGGGTACCTAATAGCGAGAAACCCAAATGCTCCGCTGGCCTATAGCTTTAAGTTTTTGAAACCGTATTTCATGCAATTTGTGATGGAAACTAGAAATTAGATCTCACCTAAACCTCCTCCCCACCCCCGAAACATTTGTTGTTAAAGCAAGTTATGCAAGAGAAAAAAATCTGTTTTGAGTTTCAGACAACTATTAGTTACCTAAGACATAGAGAAAAATAGCACGCTCAATCCTATGCGACCTAGCTTGGAAAATATTATGGTACGGTTATTCACATAGAGGTAAATCTCTCAGCCTTGCTAAGTATGACTACCTCTAAATATTTACTGGCAAACCTATAGTTTGTGCAAAAGCTGGAGCAGCTGGGTGCTGCCTGAAATGCCAAGGCAACAGAAGACGACACTCCCATCCCCAGGCACTGTTGGACCAGCGCAGCTCCTGCAGCTGCGCTGGCTGGACCCAAGAGGGCCGTGCCGTACCCACCCCACCTCGCCTTCGCAGGAACACCACAAGCCAGATCCTTGCAAACAAACTGGAAGGCAACAGCCAGCAGCATCATTTTTTCATTTGTGGGCACAATGACACAGAGTGAAACGAGCAGCCACAGGAGCTCCCTGAACTTGACCCCTCCAAGAAGCCTGTGAAACTTTCGCAAACATTAACTTGTCCACAAAGATTAGTCTGGGAGTGTTCGAGAGCAAATCACTAGAGTTCCACTGAGTAACCACGTCAAAACTTGCCCAGAAGCTGGACTCTCAAGGAGGTAGCTTGATTAAATGATTAATGATTTATTACCCCTGTATTCATGACGTGAAGGCAAAAGCTCTCACCAG